TCTAATTTGACAGGCACGAGTTCTAAGCCTGGCACTTGCAGTCCAAACAAAATTATATACGGACTATAAACTAATTAAATAAAAATTCGATTATTCCAAAGACCACTGATGAAAAGTACTTGGCAATACTCGAAACAGCGTTGTATGGTCAGCCAAACTTCAATAAAATTAAAATAAATTTTTGTGTTTGTCCTTTATTTCTTTCTTTGCTATTCAAAAAACCCCTCTAAATTTTAATAAAGCTTCTTTGTCATTATACAAAGAAAGTCTAGCTTTACAGCAACACAAACACTTTATTCAAAAATTAGACTTGTAAAAAATAAGAACAATATGTTAAAATATAATATTGTTCAGCTTTTCCTAAACCGCGAAAACGGGTTTGTAGAACAACATAGCATAGCTTCTTTGTAAAAAGCACTAGAATGGTCGCTTTACATATAGTAAGTAAAACAATATGCATTACAAAATGTTTCTACAAAAAGAGTAGCTTTGAAAAAATAAAGAATAGGCGAACCCAAAAGTTAACTTTCAATTCGTTGAACTTGTGTTTCCAAAATAAAGCTGTAGTTTATAAGCTCGTTCTAATTTAAAGCACGGCAAGTGCTTTGGTTGGTGTCACTAATTAAATAAAAATAAGTGACAATAAAACCTGGAACTTGAGCATTGAAAGTTTGTGCAGCCTTGGCTTGTTTTGGATAAACACGATTAGTCATCGCTTCTAATTTGACAGGCACGAGTTCTAAGCCTGGCACTTGCAGTCCAAACAAATTGTATACGGACTATAAACTAATTAAATAAAAATTCGATTATTTCCAAAGACCACTGATGAAGAGTACTTGGCAATACTCGAAACAGCGTTGTATGTGGTCAGCCAAATTTCAATATATTAAATAAAAAATTTTTGTCTTTGCCTTTCTTTGCTATTCGAATCGATCTAACTTTTAAATAGTTTCTTGCGTCATAAAAAGACACGCCATTATCGGCAAAAAAAAAGAAAAAAAATTTACCTTAAAAATTAGAATTATGGGATATATGAACAATAATATTGTTCAGCTTTTCCTTAACGCGATTAGCGAACTTGTAGAGAAACATTTGCATAGCTTCTTTGTAAAATTGCACCCAAAAAAGGCGCTTTACATATAGTAAGTTAAAAAAATGTGCATAACAGATGTCTCTACAAAAAGAATAGCTTTGAAACAAAAATAGGCAAGCTCAAAGATTAACTTTTAATTCGTTGAACTTGTGTTTCCAAATAAAGCTGTAGTTTATAAGCTCGTTCTAATTTAAAGCACGGCAAATGCTTTGGTTGGTGTCACTAATTAAATATAAATAAGTGACAATAAAACCTGGAACTTGAGCATTGAAAGTTTGTGCAGCGTTGGCGTCTTTTGGATAAACACGATTAGTCATCGCTTCTAATTTGACAGGCACGAGTTCTAAGCCTGGCACTTGCAGTCCAAACAAATTATATACGGACTATAAACTAATTAAATAAAATTTCGATTATTTCCAAAGACCACTGATGAAGAGTACTTGGCAATACTCGAAACAGCGTTGTATGGTCAGCCAAATTTCAATAAATTAAATAAAAAATTTTTGTCTTTGCCTTTCTTTGCTATTCGAATCGGTCTAACTTTTAAATAGTTTCTTTCGTCATAAAAAGACACGCCATTATCGGCAAAAAAAAGAAAAAAAATTCACCTTAAAAATTTGAATTATAGGAAATATGAACAATAATATTGTTCAGCTTTTCCTTAACGCGATTAGCGAACTTGTAGAGAAACATTTGCATAGCTTCTTTGTAAAATTGCACCCAAAAAAGGCGCTTTACATATTGTAATGTTATTACCAATGATGGCAGGATCGCCATGTAATGATATTATTAAGGATGTTCATAATATAATTGTAAAGATGTCTTGCTTTGAATATGCCATGCAAAGATGTGTAGCTTCAGGATTGCCATGCACGGTTCTTAATACAATACATTGATATGTATTAACTTGACAGGATTGCTAAGGGATTGTAATTAAGAGCCCCAAAAGGTTTCGACCTAGCAAGGATAAGTATTAATCTGAGCTCTTCAGCCGCCTTTAAGTACTTTCTAAGCTCTTCAGCCGCCTTAATGGTATTACCAGCAGATATGCCGCATATAACCAGAGATTCAAAATAACATATAGTTTATTCTTGTTGCCTTTGCAAAAGAATCTAAAAGAATCTTATTTATTTGTAAAATCTTACTCTATTTATACAAAATATTCTTATGTACTAAACTTATTATTTATTTCCTATATATTCTTGAGTAACCAATCAATGCATTGGTTACTCCCAATTTTTGATAAAGTATATGATTTTTACATGTAAGATATTCATAGTATCTATTATACTATTCTAACATATGTTATCTATTTCTTATGCATTTTTACTTATATATATTATTATAAGTGTTATTCATAAGGTTTAACATTTCTCTAAAGGAATTTGTGTTACTACCGTACAATGACCACATATGATAAAACGTTTGGCTCGCGCATCATGTTACGAGTGCACAATCATAACGGCGTGAGTCAAACAAAATATAAAAGTGTAATATGATCAAAGTCAAAACGACAAAGCGACAAATGTGCATTCAATAAATTATGTCACAATTGTTTTGTTATTTTATGCAATGACTTGTCATATCAAACAATGATGTAGGTCATGGGCACCACACCCTACCCCTTAAGAAAAGTGTAAATTAATTGTAATTTCTACAAATTTAAATTAATTTATGCTATTAATTATTTTATTTATTGTTTTTATCTTATTTATTTTAGTGTCAGATCCACTATGATACTAATCCATATCAAAGCAAAATTTTTATTTAAAATTTACTATTTGTATAGTATATATTCATTAACATGTTTGAATAAAATATTTTCATTAACATATTTAGTATAATATAGTGTTTTTAATTTGTATTTTGTATATAATAATGATATGAGATTAATAATAACATATTTTGATATAAATATATTAATTTAATATT